AATTGCTATTTCATAATGAAAATTTATAGAAGGAAATTTTTAAATAATTATTACAAAAGCAATTATGAGGACATGTTCTAGTCTTTCTATAAAAAAGATTTTGGAGTTAAGGACATCAATAGGATTTGATGAAAAATATGTAAGATTAACAAAAAATAATTTAGTACTATCCACATTAAATTTGAGATGAAATGAGAGATGAGAAAATGAATCATTGTTAATGATGACATACATTTCACTTGTAACCATTACTTCATGACTAATCTTAAAAAAAAATGTGGATAAAGATGAGTGGCCAAATATGAATGATGGTTTGTGAATGTACATTATTATTTTAATTAATGTACATTGTTATTATCATTTAACTATTGTCTATTATTATATAGTTTATAAAATCAATAATTGTAAAAAAATAATTAGAAAACAAATATTCATTTGTGTTTGATACTTGGACTACAATATTAATTCAACTTTTCTTGTTTGAAAGATAAAAATGCTTGTTAAGTTCGAACCAATATTTAGGTGATATTGATACTTCATTGACATTGGGCAACCCTAATAATTCAAACCTTTAATTTAAAAACTTGTAAAGGTACTAGTTCTGAATCTATAGTCCAAGATGACAGCTGGTTTCAAGCTCACTTTAAGTGGAATTCCAAAACAACTTGAGCATATCTGAAAGTAGACATATACAATATGGAGAGGCTAAAATAGGAATTATTAAGTTTTTTTCTACTTGAGGGTTGAGACGTCAATCCTTACTAGATGGTGGGACGTATTCTCCATTCCCTCCAATGTTTGAAATGGTTCATCCACCACTATTTTAAATGGTTCAATATGGTTATATACAGAATATCCAGCAATTCGTATCAATAAAGGATATAGGAATAAATATGTCAACCATTATTATTGAAGGAGCGTCATTGTGTAAACTGCAATTACTGTCGTCACATTACACTGAGGCATTTCATAACAGGTTGTTAAATAATAACCTTAATTAAATATGTGTATTCAAATTTGGAGGTTAGGACTTTACCTTAATAGTAATAATAAAACCACAGATTTTTGATAACTATAGTCCTACTTTATTGGTTTTTTACATCAATGTTTCAGCCCAAATTTCCATTTTCAAGGGAAGAATTCTATCTTAATGATTAAAAATCATTATGCTCTGAATTGCTCTAGTCAACTCCATTTCACTAGTTAAACACTATAAGTGGAGCTGACAAGGACAATTCAGTCCATAATGATTTATAATTATTTAAATAGGTTTCTTCCCTTGATTATGGCCTAAGGGCTGAAACTTTGATGTAAAAAAAAAAAAATAAAGTAGGACTATAGTGATAAAAAATTTGTTGTTTTATTATTATGATAATCTTAATGCTATCTTATTCGTTTTTTGCTTGCCTGAGAATTTATGTCATTATGCACCCCTAATAAGGCAGGGAGGTTGTAAATCTGTGATAAGGTCATGATTCAGTCTGTGGATACACCACACACATGTTAATAATAATCAATTGGGGGTGGAACAGCTAAGTGGGTTAATGTGTGTGCAAAACATGCATTGCCCAGCAATCTGATAAACTGATGACGAGTTCGAGTCCTATTTCTAGGGTTGCTTTTAACTCAAGCATAAATCTCATGCTACTTCCCCTTGCCCAGGCAAAATCCCCTATAACCAACAAGAAAAAAAGATATATAATCAATTATCTGGATACGAGTTGGTCTACAAAAATAAATCCGTTTTAAAAAAAAAAAATCTGTCAGTAAAATGCACCATCAATTGGATTTTTTGGCAAAAGATGTCTTTATTGCAAGTTGAAAACTGTTGTCCTTCGTTTAGTTAAATCAGTTTGTGTTTTTAAACTTCCTTCACTCTTTTCATCTACATTTCGGTCTAAAACATGTTACAATCTTAGGCAAAAAACTTAGTGAAAAATAAAGTAAGCAGAAACATTATAAGTTTGGTTGACATAACTGAATCATGGTACTGTAACCAAGATTGAGGAAGCCTTAAAAACATAGAACCCTATGTTTTTTTTGTTTCTTGGCACTAATTATTAATTCCTAGATTTTTGGATGTGCATGTGCTCTTATATCTTATATCTTGACTATCCTTTCTTGTATGTTTAGATGTGGCATGCTAGAATAAGTATCTTTTTTGTTATTTCTATTATCTTTATTATCTTCCTATTTATCTTTATATTGTATATAGTAATTATGTTTAAATTTTCTCTGTTTCCTTTTATTTTATTTCTTTTGCTTGAACATATTATTATTATTATTAAATGGCACTACATCCCAATTATTCAAGACTTGGCCTGCTCCAGCATGGATCTCCAGTTCTCCCAGTTATTTGCTGCAACCTTCCAATTTCTGACACAAAGTAGTCTACATGCATTAGCAGCCACACCGTCTTGACAGCGCAAACATGGTCTTCCCACTCGTCTGTTTCCAAACACAGGCTCATTCATTCAGCTCCCTGTGGGGTGTATTCATATCCATACGCGCGCCATGTCTCACCCAGCGTAGTCTTGCCCGTACGATGAATTGGTTCACATCCAGTTCATTAAATAATGTCTTCATTTCTAAATTCGTTCTCCTCCTGCAATTCTGTGGTGTTTCCTGGACCCCTCCAAATATGCGTCGTATAATCCTCCTTTCAAATCTGAGCAGGGATTTTTCAACTGCTATTGTTAAGGTCCAACTCTCACAGTCATATGTGAGCACTGATCTAATAAGAGTTTTATATATTCTTATTTTGGCCTGTCTTGACAACATGCTATTGCGAAGGAACGTAGTATTAATTCTGTAAATATTTCTATCTGCAAATAGATCTCTTAACTATAAATATCATTTCTTTGCTGCTTTATATAAAAATTCAACCTAACCCCTTCTCACCTGAGCTAGCATGGTAGCATAAATGTTTTAGTACATCTAGGAGTAAGTACTTGACACTGAATGAAACTGATTGAAATTGAAATGTTAAAAAGTGGAACTTATTTTTTAATAGAAGATTCAAAATGAGGAGTGAGCTTGCTCTATAAGCTTGTCAGTGAGCTACTTAATGTAGTAGTGCCATATATACCTGTTAGAAACATTTAGAGAAATTTTTGTTTGGAATTTGGATTTCATTTTGGATGTCATTTTGAAAAAAATTCTGTAAAATTTGATGCAGTTTATATTATATAATTGAACAAGGATATGTTCCCTTTTGAACTGAATATACTTTAAAATATTGCAGGGATTGTTTTAGTTCACTTCTAATACAAAACCTTACTACTTGATCCTTCTGATGTTTCAATTCTTTAAAAATTGACTGCAGGTTTCAATTTCATTCATCTCAATGAAATTGAAAATGTGAAAACACATTTATTTTATGAGTATGTACCATTCTGAAAGAAATCTGCTTATAAATAGTTTATGAATTATTAAAACATTAATAAAAAGTAAACGGGTTTTCGTGGGAGCTTTACTTTACTTTATTAAGTCGATTACACTGTATGTTTTCTAGTTCGGTTTCTATGGTTTTAAGATTTTTTAAAAATATTTTTGGGGAAGGGAGATGTATAAAGGACCTTTATTACACCAAAATAACTATTCTGTTCTTATCAGTTTACTTAACATTGTAGGAATTTTGAAATATCCCAATTTTTGAATGGATGTCCAAGAGCATAGCCAGCTAAAAAAAAAATAGTATGGATAGGTTGCTAAGGTAATGCTTTACCTTCTCGGCTGTCGTGGCCTTTGAAATGTTGGACAAAGAATACTAGCCTTGTAATGTTAAATATTAAACACAACACATCTGAATTGTCAATGAAAGCAAAACCAAAGTTCTTGTTTTGAGGAAGAAGAAGCTCGTCTATCCACCAAATCACTATGTCGTGAGAATCAACAAAAGCATTATCAAACTTTACTTACCATAGACCTTACTTTTCTCTAGAAAGTCTTCTGAAAAGTAGACTGTTGAGCCATGCAAACAAGTTTAGGCTATACAAGACTGTTATTTGATCAGTTGCTACATATGGGTACAAGACATGAACCTTTACAAAGGCAACTGCAGAATGAATAGATCAACTCCAAAGGAAAATCATAAGAAGGATAATAGGGACTAAACTGGAGGAAATAGTTCCCTGCTTGAAAACAAACAAGGAAGTATACTCAATCTACAGTGATTTATCTGTCTCCCAATTCGTTTGAGTTCAGTGAATGAAATAGTTAGGACATGTCTTGAGAATAGATGAAGCAAGAACAGTGAGAAGACTTTATCATGGGAAGCCAGACACAATTAGGGCTGGGGAAAGAGCAAAGGCAAAATGGATGGATAATGTAAAAGAGGATTTAAAAAAGAAAAAAAAAAAACGGAATATCCATCAGGTGCACAGCGCAATGATTGCGTAGATTTACATCTCTGCATTGCATGATGATTGCGTAGATTTACATCTCCGTAATCAGCCCTGATGATGGCCTGAACTTCAGGTCGAAACGTCGGCTAATGTCAAAATAAATAGTATCATTTATTTTTGCCTTCTTATTTGACTGATCACCCCAACTATTCTTCTCTCTATTATTCTTTCAGTAGAAAAGCAATCTATTTATTTAATTCACCTTTTAACGATTCCTAAAGGACCAGTTACATTCATTTTATATAACTAGAAGTAAGATAGTTTAAATATATATGAATACAGATTTATATCATAGAAGATGAAGGATTAAAGGAAAGATAATATAATTACTTCTTTATAGGCAAATTGGTGTGATTTTAAGTTGAACCGAGGATATCATAACATCACTTGATTGCATTGTAAAAAGAGGAAGATATTATACTTATGATTGGCATTTTATACTTGTCAAAAATATAAAGCTTTTTATCAAACAAATAAAAAAGTAATAAATTATAAAAAATATAACTCTTTAATTTATCAATATTTGACAAAACTAATAATAATTACACTATGTATACAGTAATATGAAACATGGAGTAATAATTTAAATCATGCTCATGCATTACAAACCTGCTCCAAGAGCCTCAACTTCCTGCGGTGGGTCTGCTCCTCCAATCTGTCCACATACTCTCTCAACTCTTCTATCTCCTCCTTCACCTGCTGAACCGTATCTAATTCCTGCTTGATGGCTACCATATCCCTCTTCACCTCACTCACCTGTAAAATATTTCAAATCAGCTCAAAACAAACCTCTCATAAAATCAAATAAAAATAATAAGGCAAGAAATATTTATTTATAATCATTATCATAGTTCGATGGCGCTATGATACTAGCTGAGCCTTGGCTTCCTCTATACAACAAACAACTTCCTCTATCCGGCGACATACAGGCTCCTTAGATCGTTTTCAACATCTTCCAGCCAATGAAATTTAGGCCTGACTCTTTTTATTTTTCTACCACGATGTCCCTACATCATCATTTTAGAGAGCCTGGCTATGTTTTTTTTATCATTTTAGCCCCTGCTTTGTTCCATTCGTTTCACGTAAACTAGCCATCTTATTCTTCCCTTCTTCATGGTGGATATGTTATCTGGGACATTATAAAGCTTCTTCAGCTCTTCATTCACCAAAGATTTCCTTCTTTGGTTGGAAATAGAATCTTCATGGAGTCGAAGTGTCCAGGACTCACTTCCATATATAAACTGGCTGCAGAGCCGCCTAGTGTACTATTATCTTGAGAATTGTTGGTATATCTTGATTTTGAAAGATTTTTGGGTACTTTTTGTCTAGAGGGCTGGACTGCAACCTCACTTCTTATCTATCTTATCTAACGTCATGTCATATAACCTCCCTCTCCTTATCCCACCATACCTTTGAGTTATTGCATTGTTTAGTTTTCAGTTATTCCCTTATTACGTTCACTTATTAAATTCTTTACTTTTAGCACGTTTGTGTTTATTTTTCATTATTTTTAGTTTTTGGCCCGTTTGTGTTTATTTTACATTTTTTTTTTAGTTTGTGACCCCTTTGTGTTTATTTTAAATTTTTTTTTCGTTTATTTTCGTCATATTATGGATCTTCTTAGAATATGGGATTTGCCGCCTTCAGAAGAACAGGCAATTTAATATTTTCAAAATGTTGGGGTACTTGCCGATGTGAAATTGTGTGAACGAGGTCATCGAATGAAGTTAACCAGGAAGGCCAAACGGAGATGCTTTCTTAGAACTTATGACACAAAACTTTCAATAAGGAAAGGAACATGGTTGGAGGGCTCGAGGATTTCGTTTTTAACAGCTTTAAAATTGATTTATGGGTGGTCCCATAGCTTGACAACGATGAAGTGGGGCAAAGAGCAGCTGAAACTATCCTATGGAGCTATGGTAACGTGGAATAATGTCTAAGAGAGGTTTGTGCCCATGGCATGTTACACAGGCCAAGAAACAAAATTGGACCTGGCAAAGTGGTTGAAGTAGACGAAAGTCTTTTTTCTAAACGAAAAAATCATGTGGGGAGAGTTTTACCTCAGCAGTGGATGACATCCACTGAATGTTTGTTGGAGTTTGCCGAGAAACAGATGAATGTTTTATCTCTTTATAAAACCGATTTTATGTTTTATATTTTTTCTTTTCTATGTAAATATGTTTTTTTATTATTTCATTTTGATGTTTTATATGTACTTATCTTCTTAAATTTTATTATTTCATTAATATATGTGTCGTCAAATAAAAGTATTTTTTTTTGTTATTACATTTGTTTTTGTACCTGTTTACACTTTCAATAATACGAAGTTAATACCATAATAGATATGAAGTAGGAGAAGGCTTATCACTGCGTTATGGGAGTTATCAGTGTTCAGGTTATAAACATTGGCAGATAGCAGTCAGTAGCGGCCTCCTAGACAAAAAGTACCGATTTTTGTTAGAGATCAATAGCACCTATACTTAATGCTATCCTTGCCTTTATTTCTTCTCTCACATTATTATCACCAGTGATAAATGCGCCAGGATAATTAAATTGTGGTACTCTTTTAAAACGGTATCCAGCCTTCTGGTTTTATCTGGTGCCTTAAATCTCCCTTGTTGTTAACACATATTTAATTGGTTTATAATAAATGCTATAATCAAAACAGATAGGACAGAATAATGGCAGCTACGTTTTGAGACCTTTTAGTTTTCTTAATTCAATTTCGAAGGTAGTAGCAAGTGTCATGGCCGCAAGTGCAGTTGAAGATACACGTCGCTCTGTATTTGTTACTATGTAATGTGGTTATTATTTAAAATTCTGGTGTAAGACTATATCAACAGTGACTATATAAACAGTGGTACATTTTATGTCACATATGTTCAGGTTAGTAACTTGATTAACAATGAAGCAGTAATAAATCAGTGCTCGTTCGGCAAGCCCAAGTGGCCCGTAATCCCTTACGGGTTTACTTTATCTGTAATAAGTTACGGTCAAGACTCGGCTCTGTGTATACTAACATTCTTCGGCTTTGTTCACAGTTCGAATCCAAGACATTTAGGTTTTTTTTTTTTTTTTCTCTTTATATTTTTAATATTTTTCAGGAGACTTTTATTTTATTTTCTCATTAATTAATTCTGAAATGAATTATTTTATATTATATCTGTATATAGTTTAGTTCTTAAGAAGCTATCTTATAATTTTCATTTTAATATTTAGGTTTAAAAAAAATTTTTTTTTCTCTCTTTCTCTCACACTCATTTATCCATCATGGATAAATCCATGGATTTGGATAAGAACACTTCTTGTGAAGACTCGGAGAACGAGACACCCTTTTCAGAAATTAGCGAGACTGACTCGCAATACTTGAAAAGACGTACGCTCCAAAAGCGTGTCCGAAACTCCGCTCCCGGTTCGGGAAGCAACTCACCAAATAAGAAAAAAACAAAAAATAAATCAAACAAATCAAATAAGCCAGCAGAACAAGAAAAATCTCCACCTAAAACGAGGAGTAAATCTAATGCCACACAATCAGAGCCAACTGCACCAAGCACCTCAGCCAGCAAGAATACTATTCTCGATAACAATTTATCAAGCAAGATTCCGAAGCCTCAAGATTTTTCTGACCCCGAACCGCCACCTGTTTTTGTTTCAAAAATTGAGAACTTCGTGTCGTTTGGTCAAGAAATTGCAAAACTAATCGGACAGCCAAATTTTCGCTGCTTCTCTCGAATCAATGACATTAAAATAAACACGAACTCTAGAGAAAACTATAAAAAATTGATTAGCCATTTAACTTCCAAAAACTACGACTTCCATTGTTACCAATTGAAACAGGACAAGGCGTTTCGAGTAGTCCTGAGAGGTCTACATCCAACCACTCCTATATCTGTCATCAAAACAGGCCTGGAAGAAATCGGTCATAACGTCAGGCACATAGCACCCGTACTACATCCTAGGGAAAGATATCCGCTTCCATTATTCTTTATAGATTTGGAACCAGCAAAAACGAATAATGAAATATTTCAGGTTCAACGTTTAGTATACTCGACAGTACGATTTGAAGAACCAAGGCAGAAGCCCCTAATAGTACAATGCACTAAGTGTCAAAACTTAGGGCATACGAAGACATATTGCCATCACGAGGCCAGATGTGTTAAATGCGCCGGTTTTCACGCTTCAGACACTTGCCAGAGGCCAAAAGATGAGCCCGCTACATGTGCTCTTTGTGGTGAAGCTCACCCTGCAAGCTATAGAGGTTGTGAGCTGTATAAAAATCTTCACAAACAGAGATCACGCAACTTAGCGACGAAAACCCTTGGACCTGCTCAAAAAACTTGTCCTGAGCCACCTGAAATTGAAAATCAGGAAACATTCCCAGCTTTGCCGACTTCACCTTCCATCGCCGTCCAACAACAACCATCCATCTCTACACTTAAGGAATTCCTCAACAGAACTCAAGAAATTCTCAATGGCAGCCTTGCATCATTAAGAAGCAGCCCCAAAGTCAGGCGCCTCATACCTCCCAATCCAAGCCCAAAAGCTCTAATACTCAACCTCAACAGCCTCGTCAGCCAATCCCTCGCCATCAGCTACCATTAAGGGTCAAACTCCCGCCAGAGCACCCACACCCAGCTCCACTCGTTCCTACTCCCAAGATGAACCTCCCATCACAAGTCCAACAGAATTTAGATCCTACTCCTCGTACCCCACGTCGGACCCACCCTCCACCCAGCAATCCTATTCGCATAGATTACTCATCACAACCTCATGACCTAAATCCACTTCCCAGCCAAACATCATCCGACATCAACTCTATCCTATCATCATTCCTGATAGATCTTCAACAGACTATCAAACCGCTTATAACTCTTCTCACAAGACTCCTTTCCGAAATCCCGTTTAACTTCCGATGAATACAAAGCCCCTAGCTATCCTCTTATGGAACGCTAACGGACTACAAAACCACCGTGACGAACTAGACATATTTCTCCATGACAATTATATTGACATTGCTCTTCTGACAGAAACTCATTTCACTCAACGGACACAATTCTACATACGTGACTACATCACTTATAGATCTGACCATCCAGACAACACTTCCCACGCTGGCTCTTGCATCCTTATACATAAATCTCTATCGCATTCCCTTATCCCTTCTACTCCAACTGATGCCATTCAATCAACTTCTGTAATCCTTTCAACTCGTCCTTTCCATCTAACACTTTCAGCTGTATACTGTCCTCCTGGTAATTCCCTCTCTTATAGCCTACTTGATTCCTTATTTCAATCCCTCGGAGCGCGCTTTATTGCTGGAGGAGACTACAATGCTAAACACCAACGATGGGGTTGTCGAACATCCAACTCCCGCGGTAGCATCCTATCACGTGTCTCTTCTTCCAACAGTTATTCAATCCTCTCACCCATGAATCCTACATATTGGCCTACATCTCTGAAAAAACGTCCCGATATCCTGGATATATTTATCACCTCCCAGATTTCCTCCTCCCAATCCATTATCAAATCCCTGGATGACCTTTCGTCAGATCATAGTCCAGTTTTGCTTTTACTAAATTCGAACTTTGCTCCTAAACCTAAACTTCCTAAACTAATTACAGGACGAGTGGACTGGGACAAATTTCGTCATGATCTGGAAGATAAACTGGACTTAAAAATTCCCCTTAAGACAAAACAACATATTGATAATGCCATAGAAAACCTTAATACAACTATAACAACGAGTATAAATAATAACACATTTGTTAATAATAAAAGCAATAATTTAAGACATATTAACTTGCCACAGCATATTCGAATCTTATTAAGGGACAAACGCAGAGCAAGATCGAAGTGGCACAGGACTAGATATCCTTCAGACAAAACGTACTATACCGAATTGACTAACAAACTAAAATCAGAAATCAGAAAATATAAAACTCAACAATTACTGAACCTAACTGAAAATATTACAACAACTGACAAATCACTATGGACTACAACCAAAAAACTTCTGAAGTTTAAAGATTTTAATCACCCACTTCTTACTGAATCCCAAACCTGGTCCAAATCCGACGAAGAAAAAGCCCAGTTATTCGGTCAACATCTGTTCCAAATTTTCAACCCACATCCTGATATCCTTAATCCAACCCACATCGAATGTATTGAATCAGAACTGGATACTCCTCTCCAAATGTCCCTTCCACCTAAAGCATTTCATCCCACAGAAATATCCAACATCATTCAAAGATTACCCTCCTACAAAGCTCCTGGACATGACCTAATAACATCCCAGATCTTGAAACTTCTTCCTCGAAAAGCCATCCTATTCCTTACTTTCATATATAATGCTGTACTCCGATCAACATATTTCCCTGATCCTTGGAAAATATCTATTGTCAAAATGATCCACAAACCCAAAAAGCCACCAGAATATCCATCCTCTTACCGTCCCATCTCTCTGTTACCCATCATGGGAAAAATCCTGGAAAAACTAATCTTAAAACGCCTGTACCCAATCCTAGATTCTAATCACATAATCCCAGATCACCAATTTGGATTCGCTCCTCCCATTCCACTATACAGCAATGCCATCGTGTGGTAGACGTAGTATCCTCTGCATTGGAGCGCGGTATGTACTGTACGGGAGCCTTTCTCGATGTTGAACAGGCGTTTGATAGAGTTTGGCACCCGGGACTGCTGTACAAACTCCGAAAATTCCTACCATCTACCTACTTCCTCATTATCCGTTCCTACCTTACTGATAGATACTTTAAAGTAAATCACAACAATGTATATACATCCCGTTTTTCCCAGTCTGCAGGTGTTCCTCAAGGTAGTATCCTAGGTCCTATCCTTTACACAGTTTATACAGCTGACATCCCAACCCATCCCAACACTGTCATCACCACATATGCTGATGACACATGTATCCTATCAGTCAATAACGACCCATCTATTGCATCCCAAACCCTTCAATCCCACATCACAAACCTTGAAGAATGGTGTCAGAACTGGAGAATTAAAATAAATTCCAATAAATCCCATCAAATTACCTTCACCCTTCGTCGTAAACCAATGACTTCCTGTCCTTCAGTATCCTTTAACAACACCTCACTTATTCCTGTTGAACAAATCCGTTACCTAGGACTCCAGCTGGACAAACGTCTAACTTGGAATCCTCATACCAGACTGAAACGACAAGAAACCGCTCGACGTTTCCGACTACTTCAACACTTACTAGACAAACGCTCTAACCTTCCAATCAATTATAAAAGACTGATTTACATGACTATAATAAGGCCTATTTGGACTTACGGGGTTGAGCTATGGGGCTCCACCAAGCCTTCAAATTCCTCTCGCATACAGTCCTTGCAATCCAAAATCCTTCGTAAAATCCTCAATGCTCCTTACTTTGTTACAAATAAAATTATCCATAATGACCTTAATGTTCCTTATGTATCAGATTTGGCCCAATCCAGATATCTGTCCTTCCATAATAAACTTCATAACCATCCCAACCCTCTTGTCTCTAACCTTGCATCCTATTCGATTCCTGATAACCCTCCGAGGCGTCTGAAAAGAAGATGGCCACGTGATCTTCTAATATAGACATATTATTACAGTGCTACCAATGGGTAGTTTCTCAACATGTGTTCCATGTCTTTATACCAATGTGCAAATTTACTAGATGTATTTTTTGTATACAGTTGTAAATATCATTTAAAATAAATAAATAAATAAAAAAAATTTCGAAGGTATGGCTGTCTTATACACAGGCATATAATCTTAGTCATTAACTGTATTATGACAAAGTAGCATTTTATTGCTGTAAACAAATATCCATAGCTAATTAGATGTGATTAATCTTTTGTAGCATTTGTCACCTTGACTATTTACACCTCTGGGAAAGCAGTTGATTCAACAAAGTTTAAAAACACTGCCTCCAAAGTGAGATACTCTATAGTCTATGGCAGGGATCTTAACAACTGTTGCTCACAGGCTAACATCAATTTGCTAGGATTCCCAATCTGGCATATCTAAGCTTATTTTGATTACACTGAAAACATCCACAATCACTGAGTGTAGTTGTGTTGTATTAAAGATAAATTTCTACAAAAAAAATTGGTAAGAAATTATTATTGTTTTAAGACCAAACATTTAAATACAGTATTAAATAAGGATGAAATATAGATTAAATTGGAAATTAATTCACAAAAATTCGGGTGTAAAAAGACAAACCTCCGACTGGCAGGATTCAACGGACTTGGTCAGCTCTTGTAGTTGACTTCGGATCTCAGAGAGCGCAACCGTCGTCTCGAGCTGTCGATCGCTTCGCTGAAGCTCGTCCAGCTTCGAGTTCAGGTTGATGCTCATTACTGTCACCTGTTTCTGCAGACTGAGAAAAATGAAATTTAGCTTTGGAAATAATGTGAGCAAAATGAAATAGATTTTATGATTATCAATATTCAATGTTCATAGAACCTATACTATATACCAGAGATCCCTCATCGGATATTCTCCTAGCCGTCAACAAGCTCGGTGAACAGGTCAATGAGGATATTAAAAATTTAAGAACGTCGCTTGAGAAGTATGGTGAGCTCAGTTTCGAGTTGAATGAGAGGTTCACAAAAATAGAAGGACACCTTGAAGCCCAAGCGAAACACCTAGAAGAACTCACCTCAGAAAATAAGATGCTGAAAACCAGAGTAGGCGAACTTGAGGTGCGTGTTAACAAAGCCGAGCAAGTTCTACTTCGTAGATCTATAGAAATTAGCAGCATCCCGGTACGCGTGAGAGAGACTTCATCGGCCTTGGTAGCCAGCGTGGGAGCCAGCTTCGAGATTAAGATCAACGCAGAAGAGCTCGACTTTGTGGAGCGACGGAGACCAAGAAAAGATGATCCCCGATCACCATCACACGTGATTGCTCGTTTTGTGAGGCAGTCTGTACGGGACGATTTGGTACACAGAAGAAAGGTAAAAAGGGACTTTTCTACCAGGGATATTGGTTGGCAAGAAAACGACTCCCACCGGATATATCCCGGCGAAGAAATGTCTCCTATGAACAGACGTCTGTACTGGCTCGTCCGTCAGAAAAAATCAGCAGGCAAATTAAAATATTTATGGTTTGCGGGGGGTAGAGTTCGTTGTAGAAAAGAAGATGGACACCCAGTGATCTACATTGATCAGCCACAAGATCTTGACATTTTCTGCTGACTGTTGGACATTCTTCAACTCGATGGTCATAATTGGAAAATGTTAAGCGTTGCATACTATAAATCACTTTGCCGTATTATGTTACTGTTTTATCATTATTTTTTCTCTAGCACAACTGACGTAATCTTTTATTTACTCATGTTTAGTTTTTTTTCTCATTGCTGCTTATTATTATTATTTGTACTTAACCATTATTTGCTTCTCTTTAAATGTTATTCATTAGATTTCAGCTGCCTTTCATCATATTTCTCTATTTCCTCTCCAACATGTCTAATGTCCTGACCTCTTGTCATGTTAATTCCCAATCCTTACCAGCTCATTTCGAAGAATTTTACCAGTAATTTTGACCATACTATTGCAGTTTCCGAAACATGGCTAAAACCCCCCACCCCTTCCTCTTCGGTTTCCTTACCCGATCACATCTTTATCCGCCACGACCGGATTAGAAAAACTGGTGGTGGTGTGGGTCTTTACGTTCATAATAGCCTAAATCCCGAATCCTAGATATCTCACTCCCTTCCAATTGTCCCCAAATGGAATACCTTTTTGTTGAAATTTCCTTCAAAGCCCATCTTCTCCTATACGTTGTAGTTTATCGCCCTCTCCTGGTACCTTTCGACCCATCCTTTGAATCAACCCTATACAAATTTATCCCTTTCTACAGTTACATAATAGTTTCCGGTGACTTTAATCCCAATCTCCTTTCCGATTCTCACGACAAAAACTACCCGGAAAAACTTGTCTACTCCCTTAATCTCTTTATAGTACCATTTGCTCCTACTCATCACACTTGCTGGTCTGATACATGGCTGGACCTGTTTATCATCGATCCTGCGCAGAACCTTTTGTCCTCGTCCCAACTACCTGTTCCTTTCCTCTCTTCACATGACCTCATCCAACTATCATACAATATACAGACCCCAACGATCCTTCCTAAAACAATAACTTTCCGCAATATAAATTCCCTAACCCGTGAAAGCATCTTACCCGATATCGAAACTCTGAATTGGAATGATGTTTACACCAGCTCCTCAATTGATACCATGGTAGATATCCTGACTTCTAATCTCCTCCATATCCTCAATACCCATGCCCCACTTAAAACCTCTACATTCCGCCGCCAACCTGCTCCTTGGATGCGTCAAGAAATCCGAAATATGCAAAAGAGACGTGAGGCAGCCCGTAGACGCTTTAGAAGAACCAGGCTTGCAGATGACTTTGAAGCGTTCAGGGTACTCCGTAACTTGACGCAAACAACGATCAGGCAAGCGAAAACCAATTACTTTCATGAAGCCTTCTCCTAGGCTCCCGATTCCAAATCCAAATGGAATTTACTCCGAAAGCTGTCTCTTTGCAAACCATCTTCTTCCACAGCTGTTCCAGTCTCTCCTGATGCTTTAAATTCCTACTTTTTATCCTCCTCCTCTAGTAATATTTCTCCCGCCTCTTCCCATATATCTGGATCATCAGCATTTAATAGCGACAATTTTTATTTTTCCTACATCACTCCTACGAACCATATTTCCTCCATAATGAAATCCCAATCCGGCTCAATAGGAATTGACGGAATACCCGTCAAACTGTTAAAATTATGCCTCCCTGAAATCCTTCCAGTTCTTCTATTCATTTATAACTTATAGGTTCCAACTCCCTCCTTAGATCCATTTCCACCCTTTCTTCCTTGATTATTAATGACCAACCAATCTCCTTCACCTCCTATGTAAAAAACTTAGGAATTACCATTGATCAAAACCTATCATGGAAGCCCCATATTGCTCATATCTCCAGGTCAATTGGTACACTTAAACTATTTCATCATTCTCGTCAACATCTCCCACAACCTATTCGCAAGCTCCTCGTTTCCTCATTCCTCTACTTTAACTATGGATGTGTGGTATACGGTGGCCTCTCGTTGGAGCTTGAGGACAGACTGAAGAGAATCATGAACTGTTTTTAAGATTTGTCTTCGGCACTTCGAGATGGTCTCATGTGTCCCACCTATATGCCGAGTCAAAGTGGCTCCTTCCCTCTTCCCGCCGCCTATACTTCCTTGGAAATTTCTTATACCAAACGATCAACTCCCATCACCCTTTCTATATCTGCTGTCTCCTCCAGCCGAAACCTTTAGTCCACTCAATAAAAACGAGATCCCGTGATTCTGACCTCTATATTCCATTCCACAAGACAAAAACCTATGAACGTTCCTTCTTAGGCCGGTCCGTCGCCTACTGGAATTCTTTGCCACATAACATCCGTCATGCCTCTTCACTGTCAACCTTCAAATACCTCCTTTTCCAATATCTCCTTACATCCTAAACAGACGATTCGCAACCATAAATCTCATTTTATAAACTGAATCTGTGAGAAGTAAATGGTAATGCCTAATGTTCAAGTTTTAACATAAAACAGCAATGATCACTTTTTGTCTCTCTGTGTACCAATATGAGTAAGTACGTATATATAGTTCCTTTTTGTACCTTTATACCACAATTAATCCTGAGATTTTATTTTATCTTAATGTTTGCTTATTATTGCATGAATCACTGTAAACATTATTACATTTTGTATTAAATTATTTTTCTATTAGATAGCCTATTGTTTATAAATTGTGCAGTTATGTATATATATATATACATGTACAGTTGTGTATATATATATATATATATAAGATAAAGACCGGAGACTGGCGATATCAGCCTTAATACCATCTTTTAATGTAAATAAACATAGCAATTGTATATAAGGCAGATTATTGAACGAATAAAGCAGTGTTAATTCAGAAGCCGTGAGTATTGTTTCTCGTTCCTCTTTCCTTCTTTTTTTTTGTTTACAAAGCCCGGAGACGCTTAACTGGTGCCGAAACCCGGGAGAACGTCAGGAGAACACGGAAGTAAAATTTTTTTTCCTTTCTTTATTTTAATATTTTTTTTTCTCTTCTCCTAGTCATAAGGAAAAGACGAGATGCCGACAGAGGGCATAATTCGACCAGGAGTGTTGAACGCACCTGAAATGCCGCAACCTCAGGAAATGCCGATAGCGCAGATTCCTCAGATCGCCCCTCAGGTTCCGCAGATTCCGCAGATACCTCAGATACCTCAAGTACCGCAGATACAAGAGATCCCTCCCTTACCTAGGGACACATTGGCAGAGGCGCACGCCAATGCATTGGAGTGGATGAAGATAAGGGCAGCGACCACGCAGGATCTACGGAGAGCAATCGCAGACCTGGAGCGATTCGGGGGCGAGATAGGTGAACTTAATCACTTCCTGAAAGGTGGAGACCGCCTCATATCAAGAATCGAAGCAAAGGTGGCGGAGGACCTCGTGAACCTGGGAGACGCAGAAGCACTGAAGGCAGCTCTCGTGTGCCGAGTGAGGAGGAACATCCTCAACCAAATCCAAGCGGACGAGGAGACACCATGGCCAGTGATTAAGGAGCGTTTGAAGAAGGCTTTCGGAGGGGGCCGATGGACGCCGGAAGAAGATATCTTCCAAATGTTTAGGGAGTGTCGGTCCCAACGCCAATCAAGAGGACAGTATGCGGGGGTACTAGTGGCGAAGTACAACCGCATAACTGAGAAAATGCGTGAAACCATGAGTGTGGGAGAGGTCGAAGCTAGGATGGAATTCCTTTCGACAATACTCAAGGTTCAGTTGGCTAAGGAGACTGGGAGAAGGGACGGACTGCCTAGAGAGCGATCGTTCCTCGAGTGTGCCCAAGAAATGATAGATCTGAGTGCAAGAGAGGAAGAGACGCGGATGGAAGTAGAAGAACCAGGGTGGACCCGGGTGAGTGACAGACGACCCCGGACAGCCCAGATCGGGTGGAGGAAGAGGGAAATGAAACACCCGAACGGAGAAAAAGCCACGACGGGCGAGAGAAGATCCGGACAGTCCAGGCCTAGGAATGGACCCCGGAGGGAAGACAGAAAATGTCACGGGTGCGGGAAACCGGGACATTTGGTAGCACAATGTCCGCGCACTAGATGTTTCGAGTGCGGGACGGAAGGGCATATTGCCAGACAGTGCCCGTACATGTTTCGCAGGAGAGAGAGACCTCTAGACGAGCCAATGGAGGTGAACGCTCAAAAGTTGAAAAAACGAGCTAGGATGCAGCAGAGAGACGGATCTTCGGAAGAGGCAACCGAGGAGTCGGGG